TTAAAATTTATCAAAATTAGATAGGCGGAAGAGAATTAGATCAGGGAATGTTGAAATTTTTTAAACCGGAACAAGGAGAAGAGAGAGAGAGAGAGAGAAGCAAGGGGTTTTTTTTTAATCAATTTTTAAAAATTAGTAAAAATTAGTTAATTTTTTCAATTTTGATAAGATTTGGTCAATCTAATCTATTTTTAATTTTAAAATATCATTTAAATTATTTATTAAATCGGTTCATGATTGAACTGATCAAAACTGGCCAGCAGCACAGTCCATTATTAAAACATTGACGAAAGTCATGCAAATAACGTGAGGTGAAACCCACTGGAAAGAGTACAATTGGTTCATGAGAAAATTTATTGTTCTGATGACTCTGTATTACGTGTTTTTATTCAATACAATCTTTCAACCTATTCCCTTTTACTGCGACAAAATTACCTTCACTGGATATTAAGAGTTACCCTTTTTTTTACTTAATTATCAACCAACAAACTTAGGTATGCCGGACCATCAATATAAATACCACCTTTTATTATTTTATATAAAAATTAGTATTAAATTACAGACCGAGAGTTAAGATTTTTTAGGTTCTTTTTTAAAAATTTATTAATACTATCCAAGAGAGAGTTCGGCGGGCTCCTTCTCTGGCAAAACAATAGGCTATTATACGTTCAATCGACTAACGTCCGTTTACATCTCCGTCTTCTTCACTTAACGCTGCTAACACGGGTTCATCGCACTTAAACACGTGGACTTTCCAAGTTCAATGCCCGTGTACCTCATTGCAATCACGTTGAGAGAAGGGAAAAAATGCGTAACATTTAATAATATTATATAAAAATATAATATAAAGGACAACTTCGTCCTTAATTTTAGTGCAGCGGTAAAAAATTATTGTATTTATTAAAAAAAATGACTGTACTCAGAAAATAATAAAACTGTACGTTAATAAATGGTTGTGACGAGTTATTGTAACTTATTAATGGCCACAAAATATCTCACTGATGTGCATCAGGTAGGAGGTGAATGGTGCTGGAAAGGTGGGTAAGACAAGTCATAGTCTCTTACATTTTAGCCTGGGACGCAGGAAAGCCTCATCGCGGGTCCACGACCGACTGGACTTAGAAAAAAATAGACTTCGGAGAATTCTACGGTGGGGAGGGCACCGGTGCCCACCCCTCTCACATTAGGTGAGCCCCACTGTCGGGCCTTCTGTACTGTGAGAAGGGATGACTACGATACCAACCCTAAAAAGGGTTGTTTTCAAACCTTACCCATATGGACTAATCGTTGTTGACCACGTAGGGAATCGTTCTAAACTCCAACGTACCCATCTGCACGGTAGCCTGTCTCCTTTCTCGTCGATTGTTGATTTATCTGCGTGGGCTCTGTCTGTCAAACGACTCTATCATCGATCGTCGGCTTATCCGCAGGGCACTGCAGTGTGCTGTTCGCTGCTTTGCAGTCGGGCGAGACAGGAGGAACGAAGCAGAGAGAGCTGGGTTCTCTCTGGAACATCAAACACCCGATCCCCATGCGTGGGTTTTGTCAAACGGTTCATTGGAGGAACCCGGGAGTTAGTCTTCGCAACTCAACTAGACTACAAGGTTCAGAGACAGCAACCAACACTCCCTGCTGTCTTGCAGAGGGACAAGGCAGGGAGAAACACTCGAGAAGAGGAAGACGTGCTGCTGTGCGCTGTTCCCTGTTGCAGTCTGAAACAGAGCCTTCCAGCCAAAAACAGAGACGAACAGAGCCCAAAAGAAGCCGCTTGAGGCAAAAGCCGTTGGCGATCAGAATGGGTGTGCTGAATCGCCCATGGAACTGCACCTCAAGGGCGCAACAGTGATTAAATTCGTTAAGCCCCAAGGTGGATTTGAAGCCCGGAAGCTCTGCTCTGTTTTGAAGCAAGTTGACTGGGTCAACTTGAAGATGCTGGGTGGTGGGCTCCTTGCTGCAGCCATTCCTAATATTTACAAAGATGGAGCCGGTTGTGGTGCCTGCTTTCAGGTTTGTGTTCTCTCTCCAGTGAACCTCCAATTTCTTGATTTAGAATCGTGATAGCCTATGATGGCTCTCAAAGTTTTATAATTTTAATCGGGAAATAGGTTCCTGCGTGGGCTCTGTCAAAGTTTCATGGGCGATTCAGCACACCCATTTGTTCAAAGTTCCATGGAACCAGTTGACATGCTCTGTACTGCTCTTCTTCTTCTCCTACAGAGTAATCAGACGAGTTTTGGTTGTTCATGTGGTGAGAATCTAGGGTTAAAACGCATATTTTAAGACAAAAAATATATATGTATATGTATAGAGAGAGGGAGAGAGAAGGGTTGAATTTGAAAATGTTGCAGAAACACCAAAAAACGACGCTTTTTCAGTTTTCAGTAATTTTTAAATAGATGAAAGGCTGAAGACGATCTTAGGTGGGAAAAGAAGGAGAAAGTTAGAACACACACAGAGAGGGGAAGCTGTGGGAGGGTGTTTGTCCGAAAGGAAGCCGCCCATGTTAACTGGTTTTTGCCCATACACGCTGCTCGGAGACCAGGGACAAACAACGCAAGTTCGATTTTTGGGTCTGTTAACAAAGTGCAGAAAATGGATGAATAAGCGAACAATCATGTGCGGATGGGAGATTAAAGTTCATAACAATTGGTTTACGTGGTCAATAATGATTGGCCCACGTGGAGAGGGTTCCAAACCCCGCTTTTTAAGGATGGTACGGGAGTGTTCGCCTTTGTGAGAAAGTTTCACTGTCGCCCCCCTCCTCCCTTCCCCCCCAACAGAAGGGAGAGGATACCGGTGCCCCTTGGACACCGGAGTGTGTTGTCCACACATAGACCTCACATTTTAGCCTGGGACGCAGGTAAGCCCCATCGCAGGTCCACGACCGACTGAACTTAAAAAAAAAAAAGACCGCATTGGACCATTAATTGTTAGTTCGATCTGATTGTGAATCGTAAATTTCATGGTTGATATGAGATTTTTCGTTTTCTGAACTTAAACGGAATCAAATCTAAATTATTTAAGCATCAATCAATTAAAATTAAATAAATTATATTAATTAAATCAAATTTAAATTATGAATAAATAATGAAAAATGAACTGTAAATTAAATTGTGAGTGATCTATAAATCGAAATCAGGATCGAAATAGAAAAAAAAATATTTTTTTCATTCTTTTAGATATAGAAAAATAAGTTTACTTATTTTTTATATAAATTTATACCATTTATTTTTTAAATATAAAAACAAACTTGATTTTAAACGTAAATTTATTTTAAATACATTAATTAAAAAAATTATAAAATTCACATTTACAACTGGAGAGTCTTCAATTCAAAATTCATTACAATATTTTTTTATTATATGAAATAAAAATATAAAGTTACGTAATTATTTTGTTATCTTAAAAAATATTTCATTAATTAAGATAAGATAATTACATGCATTTTGATTTTTCTAAGCCATAATAGAATATTTAAGTAGTTTAATTGGTACGTAATTAAGTTCAAATATTTTATTATTATTACTACTACTACTATTATTATTATTTAACATTTGAAAGATATTTGTAAAATTAAATATTTATAATAATTTAAAAAAATTAAATAATCTAAAAATATTTATAACTTAATATCAAAATTTACTTGGTAAAATCGAATATAAACTGAACCGAACCATATATAAATCACGAATAAACTGAAACTATAAAACCGATCCGGACCAGAATCATGAACTAGACTAGAAATTGGAACCAAACTGCATTCAAGGTTGTAGTCTCGATTCATATTTTTATAAGATTGAAACCAACAGTTTGATTCTCGTTTGAGCTATTTCATGAACTGTGAATAGAACCAGACATAGGTACATAATTTTTTTTATTAAATTAAATTTATCTTAACATTTTTTTTCAAAATTGAACAAGTCAAATCAAATTAAACTATTATTATCATGTCTGATTTGGTTTGATTTAATTTTAAAATATTTAAAAATTGATCATTTCTTCTTTTTTTTTTTAAATTGACATGTTCAATGAATGTTTACAAAAATAATTGTAATAATTGTTTATGATATTAAAATGTCTAAATTGTACATGCTTTTTATAAGTGATATAGGGATAGAACAATTTTTTTTTTAAGTTGTAGATACAATTTTAACATTATTATGATAAAAAAACTAAAAAATTATTAATAATATATATAAGTTTTTAATAATTTTTATAATTTATATCATTAATTTTATGTAAATCATTAATAATTGTTAAAATCCAATTCTTAATATTCTCCTTCCCAATATTACTTCCAATTCAAAAAATATAATTATACTGGTTTTTAAATTTTTTAATTTAATTAAACAAATTAATCATATAATAATAAAAATTTAAGGGTACATTTAAAATTTTTGTATTCTTAATTGGTGAGAGATAAGACAGGAATATGGGTTTATATTTTTAGTTATTTTCTGTTGAAATTTTGAGAAAATTAATTTAGAAGCATGTAATTCAATATTGATTAGCTCATGAAAATTAATTAAAAGTATAAAATTACTGAAAAATAGACAGGCATATAAAAACACTATAAATCCAAACTTCTTCAAAATCAACGAATGTAACAACAATTAAACTTCGTGTCGAATATAACTAATCAAAACTTAAAAAATAAATCTTGTTTTAAATATGGTCTTGTAATTTGATAAGTAATTACCTTTTTACATCCCAAAGAGTAGTGATCAAAAATTACTAAAAATAAAAAATTTATATTTATAATATGTATGGTTGCATATTTACCTTTCTTTGCTCAATTATGAACCAACAAACTTAGATATGCTGGATTATCAATATAAATCCCACCTTTTGTTATTTCTATGTAGAGAATTAGCGTTAAATAACAGACCAAGAGTTAATTGTTTTTTAGTTTTTTATTTATTTATTAAATTATATGGGCTACAAATTCATTGATACAATTGAAGAGAATATTCGGTAGGCGCCTATTTGGTTAAGACCGGATGCCGTTAGACGTTCAATCGACTAACGTCCGTGTATACCTCCGTCTGCCACCCTTTATGCTGCTGACGCCGGTACACCGTACCGGTTCACGTGGAGTTTCCAAGTTCGACGAGCTTTTGCCTCGTTGCTTATTTAGTGCTCAACTAACAGAGGCCGTTCAAGGTTTCAGAGCACCTTTCTTCCTGCGGCTCTCTCTCTCTCTCTCTCTCTCTGAAGTTTGAAGGGTGAAGTGGTTATATTCCGGTAACGAAAAGCATTTTTTTTTTTTTAATTTCCATTTCTTTCATGATTAACAGGTTTTGGTTCTGGTGATTTAGCCATGGATGCGGACAAGGAGATTCCTACAAACAGAACTTACCGGTTAATTGGAACCCTGTTCAATTTCCTTCTGAAGTGCATTTTCCGGCTTCTCTCCTTCGGCCCAATACCACAGCACATCGCCTTCATATTAGATGGAACAGAAGATATGCAAGGAAGTGGTCTTTGGAGGAAGGGGCGGGCCACAGATTGGGTTCTTGTCTCTCATGTCCATGCTCAAATACTGCTACGAGCTGGGGATCAAATATATCACCATTTATGCTTTCAGCATTGATAATCTCAAGAGAAAACCGCACGAAGTCCAGTACGTCATGGACTTGATGCAGGAAAAAATTGAAGGGTTGCTCCAAGAGCAGAAAGTACTCAACCGGCATGGAATCAGGGTTTATTTTGTGGGTGACCTCAAATATCTGACGGAACCGGTCAGGTCCGCGGCCTTTCGGGTCATGGAGGCCACTGCCGGCAACTCCCGTTTCATGATTGCCGTTTGCGTCGGTTACACCTCCACCTACGAGATCGCCCACGCCGTTAAAAGTATCTTGTGAAGAGAAACGCGATTCCCTCAAAGTAGTAAATATTTAATGGATTCAGAAGTTCCCAAATTAAATTAGTATATTTCTATTATAAATACCCTGAATTTGTGTATTGTAAAAAATCTAATGACTTAAAAAACTTTTAATTTATCAAAACAGGGTATAAATGGTTCAACTGAAGGCTCAAAAGGAGAAGAGAAGATGGCGTTGAAGCCGGGGGAGGAGGCTCTGAGTTTGGGGACGTCGAGAGTCGCATGTACATGGGATGATGCCTGATGTGAACATATTAGTTCGTACGTCGGGGGAGACCCGACTGAGCAATTTTCTGCTGTACCAGACCTCAAATTGTCTTTTGTATTCTCCGTCCGCACTTTGGCCGGAGATCGGTCTCCGCATCTGGTTTGGGCCACTCTTAACTTCCAGAGGCACTCTGTTTATCTGGGAAAGATAAAACGGGCTTTGCAGTTTCACAAACCAAGAAGGAACAGTGATGTGTGTTCGGCTCTGGCAAGTTCGACGCTATTCCTACATTATATGTACTGTCTAATCGTCGGTAATAAAACTTTTTACTTGCAAGTACATCGAGACATGTTCTTGATTCTTTCAAAAATTTTTGTTGTTGTGATCGTGGCTGTCAACGTGATGTTCGTGAACTTGGTTTCAGGCTGAGAATATGAACATGAACTATGTAGGAGTCATGCTTCCAACACGACTCTCTGCTGGTTCAGTCGTCTCCGTCTATACCTAGGGAGCGAACTGATAAAAGATTTTTTTCCTCTTGCCGAGTTCGTATGGAAATAAAATAAAATGTTTGGTAATACAAGAGATAAAAACCAAAAAAAAAAAAAAAGTGAAATCGCTTTTTTGTCTCCTTTTTTGTGGGAATACATTAGGTCGGTGGACCCAGTTGAGTAAATACGCCGAACATATTCTAATGTTAATTTTATTTATCATTTTAAATTTGTGCAATTTTCTAACGGGTCAAAAACAAGTTTTGATGACATGCAGTACAGTGGTGTAGCATTACATGACGTGTTAGAAAAATGGAAAAAAAAAGGTGAAC